GACTTTACAGTACTTCTTCTCGGAAAAATGATGAAGTGACTGAGTTTTAATTTTTTTATTCTACCTATTTTATTTGTCATTCAGAAAATGATTAAACAATACAATACAACAAGGAACAGTAGCCATACGATTATTTGTTGCAAACTTGGCACACACTCACAAGCATGAGTGGATATTCCCAATTTGGGGTGTGAGTTTATTATAGCGATTTATATTATTCTGAGAGAACTCTTTATAATTTAATATTATTTATTGAGGACTTAACATTATTTTGATCTATATTTATTATGTACATTACATTGTCAGTCAGTGTACTTATCTTTTTGATTGTTTGCGTAGATATGCACATATTTATGCACAATAAATGTTTTTATATTTTTTTTGAACTTGTCCCTTGCATCAGTGTATAAACTGGTCTACTGAATCTGTAGTAACACTAATTTGTGCATTGTGAGTCTTCCCTGAATATAAGTTCTGTTATATGCTTGGTCACCAGAATCTACACAAAAAAGCCAAAGTACATTTTGGCATCTTAATATTTTGGAATCTCTTGACAATAACTTTTAAAAGATAAACCTTTAAAGATTAAAAAAGTATTTTTTAAGTATGGAAAGCAGATCATAGTGAGCTCAATCCATGCATGGTGGCTAATTTAAAAACTAATTGTGTTTATTTGCATTTATCACAGTTTGTATTTAATACAACAACAAATTGCATCTTTTTCTTTAAAATTCAACATACACATGCAGTACCATGTTGAAAAGGCTCTGGAAATTACATTCATGATTGCAATATTATATACTAGTAGATATTTTGAACAGGCTAACATATGCACTTCTATTGATGATGAAGGCATAGAAGAGTTTTGGGTTTGGTATACTGCATAGCTATTTTAATTTTGGTTTGTTATGTTTTTACATTTTCTTTTTATAAAAGCATTTAAATGAATTATTTTTCATGTATAACTTTATGTAGGAGTCCACTGGATATCATCAAATTATCTTGTGTGAAAATGAATTGGATTATCATGGTTAAAGCGTGGCTGTGCAATCCCAGTAATCTGGACTTATTTTTGCTACATCTGAAATAAATATTTCAGTTAAATTTTTACATTTTTAGTAGGGTAGTGAAATCCCACCAGAGGGCGAAATAATTTCAAAAACAAAGAAGAAGTAATTTTACTGTGTGACATGAGTGTAGTTCATCAGACTACAACAGTGTCAACCAGGTGCATCAAACCAGCCAATGATAAACCTAGGTCGATCCAGAGGCATGTAAACTTGCTTGATACGTCTTTTTCAGCGACAATGTAGACTTCCCTTATTCATTCATGGATTGGCTCTACAGGTTGGTGTTTTACTCTGTTGCTGCTGAAACCAAGTTTACAAGTCTAGTAACCACAAGCATCTTTTTGCAAGTGAATATACTGTAAGGAAGTATGCGTTGTTGAAATGTTTTACATACTAACAGCTATAAGAAGTCTGTTTTCCATAATCCATTTATTTATGCACATGTATATTTCGTATTGTGACTACTGTAAAATTACTTCATTTTCGCTTGGAAGTAGTTTTCGCTATTTTCACTGAAAGAATGATTCAGTGAAAATAAAATCCTGCGAATGTACCTTTTTGCCTATATTTTACATTCAACTCGTTGAGAGATGGATATGAGAAGTACCCGGTAGAATCTATGACGGTTTAGTAATTTTGGCAATGGTCACTGGACAGGCATATCCCGTAAGAGTATTTTTGTGTATGTATGCATGTATATGTATAATTGATGATGTGGGTGTAAAGGAAATTAAAGCTGAATCAAGAAGTTGTTGTCACTATTACCAGAAAATATTTTTGCATTATTTGGTTACTGTACATGTGTCTGAATTGAGAATGACAAAGTTAGACAATATGATGTGATCTTGAGAATGACATTGATCTTTCCTTGAAAGATCTTGATGGATGGGGTGACTTCCTGACCTCCAACACAAATGCAATCAACATGTGACCTTGAAATGACCCTGACCGGCCATGACGATTTTGGGAAGGTGTTTTAGTCCCTCCAACCCTCACTGTTCAGTATAACCCATATAAAAGCAATGACCTTGACCTGAACTTTAGCATTTCTGGAAAACATTGGCCCATCCAGGTTGGGAATTTTCCAAGACAATGTGTACTGAGAAAGCCTAGCTTCCAAATGATACAGTTGTCTCCTGGATTCCATGCATTATACATAGAGCCCATATATAACGTAAGGGAAAGTGAAAAAATCCAAAAAAAAATAATAACCAAAAATTATAAGTTCCATAAAAATGGAGATATCTGCACCAAATGTACAAATTTGAGCAAGGACCAGTCTATGTGTCTACATTATGAATTTCAAAGCAATACGACAGGCAATTTCGGAGAAAAAATTAACTAAAAATTGATACTTGCATATGATACCATGAAAATAATAAGTCTGAGTATACTATAATCCATGTCAACAACATGTCAAATTTCTAAGCAATGACCATAAATATTCATGCGATGTCATGAAATGAAAAAGAAAATCTGACAGAGGACCATCCCAGGTAGGTGTGGTATGAATAGTAAGGCAATCCAGCTGACGGTTTTTGAGAAGTTGTTTGAATGAAAAAAGTTGATGGGCGACATACAATGCACGACATATGACAGACAGAGGACAACAGGTTTGTTTAACCCATGACCTCAGCTCGGTCACCTTCGATGACAGCTGAGCTAAAAAATGCAATGTACAATATCACTTATATGAAGAGCTCAGCTCTTTCATCTACGATGACACTCTATCTAATTGCTTGATCATCATTACATAATTTACAAAACTATCAGGATTAATTTGTTTTCACTGGCATGATACCATATGACAGTATTCTCCCATATTTGTGGAGCTTTTTCTTTAGGGGTCATTATGTTGTTTGGATTGATGTTTTCTTTAAAATTGAATTATATTGTCAAATGAAAAGGTGTGTGACATGATATATAAATTTTAAACATTATCATCTAATATGGGGTAGGATTTTTTGGATGATAAGATACAAAAACGACAACAGTTATTGACTATTGAAACAGATTTATTGAAACACTAATACACTCATGACAATAACAATCTGATAATAAATTCAGAATTCAAGTAGGAAGGTGGTATCGTTAACGCTGTTATCATTGCACAATTTAAACACACCACCACTGCCTGTATTATGCATCTGGCAACATGTATATGCGATTGGTTACATGAGGCCATTGTATACATTCGTAGGCTTGGTCACATATGATAATATGGTAT